AGGGGTCACAAACCACAGAGTAGGGAGACAGATAGATAGAAGCAGAATAGGATAGCAAATATTCAACTATAGCATTAGGATAAAGGTAAGGAAACTACCAAAGCAAAGACGATCTTTCACTCTAACTACAAACTCATAACACGAGTTGGAATAAGAAATGAAAATAATAATTTAGGAGGGGAAGATCAAAGGGACTAAATCAGTCTGGGCCAAGTAAGTAAGAGACCACCAGAGAATAGACTATATTATACACCAGATTCTAAATACAAACTTCAGGGTAGCCACTAAACTGAAAAACAGAACAGAGCCACAAAACATAAATAAGGAAAAATCTAAGAAACCCAGCATAAGAAATTGCAGTAGTCAATGGGTAGGCTAAAGCACACAGGACAAGAAACAAAGGTAATGCAGGAAATCCAGATAACGAGCAACACATTGTCAGCATTAAGTCCACATGCACCAATAGTCACCTTCAATGTAAACGGATTGAACTCTCTGATAAAAAGACACAGAGTGGCAAAATGGATTAAAGAACAAGATCCAACAATTTGTTGCCTCCAGGAAACACACCTCAGCCCCAAGGACAAACACAGGCTCAGGGTGAAGGGGTGGAGGGGAATACTTCAAGCTAAGAGCAAGCAAAAGAAAGCAGGTGTTGCAATTCTTATATCAGACAAAACGGATTTCAAAATAAAGCAGGTAAAGAGAGACACAGAGGGACAATATATAATGATCAAAGGGACACTTCACCAAGAAGAAATAATGCTTATAAATATCTATGCACCCAACATAGGAGCACCAAGGTTCATAAAGCAACTATTAACAGACCTAAAGGAAGATGTTAAAAACAACACAATAATAGTAGGGGACCTCAACACCCCACTCACATCAATGGACAGATCATCCAGACAGAAAATCAACAAGGAAATAGTGGAGCTAAATGAAAAACTAAAACAATTGGACTTAATAGACATATATAGAACACTTCACCCTAAAACAGCAGAGTACACATTCTTCTCAAGTGCACATGGAACATTCTCAAGGATAGACCATATGTTGGGAAACAAGGCAAGCCTCTACAAATTTAAACAAATTGAAATAATAACAAGCATCTTCTCCAATCATAATGCTATAAGGCTAGAAATTAATTACAAGAAAGAAGCTGAGAAAGGCACAAAGATGTGGAGACTAAACAAAACACTACTGAACAAGCAATGGATCACTGAAGAAATTAAAGAAGAAATCAAAAATACCTGGAAACAAATGAAAATGATAACATGCCATACTAACTCATATGGGATACAGCAAAAGCTGTATTAAGAGGAAAATTCATCACAATACAGGCACATCTTAACATACAAGAAAAATCCCAAATAAGCAATCTTAAACTACACCTAACTCAACTAGAGAAAGAAGAACAAATAAAGCCCAAAGTCAGCAGAAGGAGAGAAATAATAAAAATCAGAGCAGAAATAAATACTATTGAAACGAAAAAGGTGGTAGAAAGGATCAATGAAACAAAGAGCTGGTTCTTTGAGAAGATAACTAAAATTGACAAACCCCTAGCCAGACTTACAAAGAAAAAAAAGGAGAAAGCTCAAATAAACAAAATCAGAAATGAAAGAGGAGAAATAACAACAGACTCTGCAGAAATACAACGGATTATAAGAGAATACTATGAAAAACTCTGTGCCAACAAAATGGATAACCTAGAGGAAATGGATAAATTCTTGGACTCCTACAATCTCCCAAAGCTCACTCAAGAGGAGGCAGACAATTTGAACAGACCAATCACAAGGAAAGAGATTGAAACAGCAATCAAAAACATCCCAAAGAATAAAACCCCAGGACCAGATGGCGTTCCTGGGGAATTCTACCAAACTTTCAGAGAGGATTTAATACCTATCCTTTTCAAGCTATTCCGAAAAATTAGGGAAGATGGAACACTTCCTAACACATTCTATGAGGCCAACATCACGCTGATACCAAAACCTGACAAGGACACCACGAAAAAAGAGAACTACAGGCCAATATCACTGATGAACATAGATGGAAAAATTCTAAACAAAATTTTGGCAACCAGAATTCAGCAATTCATCAGAAGGATCATACATCATGATCAGGTGGGATTCATACCAGGGACACAGGGATGGTTCAACATCCGCAAATCAATCAACGTGATACACCACATCAACAAACTGAGGAATAAAAACTACATGATCATCTCAGTAGATGCAGAGAAGTCATTTGACAAGATCCAACAGCCATTTATGATAAAAACTCTGAACAAAATGGGCATAGAAGGAAACTACCTCAACATAATAAAGGCCATATATGACAAACCCATAGCCAACATCATACTCAATGGGCAAAAACTGAATGCCATCCCCCTGACAACAAGAACGAGACAAGGATGCCCTCTATCACCACTCTTATTTAACATAGTACTGGAGGTCCTGGCCAGAGCAATCAGGCAAGAGAAAGGAATAAATGGAATCCAAATAGAGAGGGAAGAAGTGAAACTCTCGCTGTTTGCAGACGACATGATCTTATATATAGAAAACCCCAAAAATCCTTTGGAAAACTCTTAGAAGTAATCAGCAACTACAGCAAAGTTGCAGGGTACAAAATCAATTTGCATAAATCAGTAGCATTTCTATATTCTAATAACGAACTAACAGAAAAAGAACTCAAGAACACAATACCATTCACAATCGCAACAAAAATAATAAAATACCTCAGGGTAAATTTAACTAAGGAAGTGAAGGACCTATATAATGAAAATTACAAGGCCTTTCTGAGAGAATTGGATGACGACATAAGGAGATGGAAAGACATTCCATGTACATGGATTGGAAGAATAAACATAGTTAAAATGTCCATTCTACCTAAAGCAATCTACAGATTCAACGCCATCCCAATCAGAATCCCAGTGACATTCTTTACAGAATTAGAACAAAGAATCCTAAAATTCATATTGGGCAACAGAAGACCCCGAATTTCTAAAGCAGTCCTGAGAAAAAAGAACAAAACGGTAGGCGTCACAATCCCTGACTTCAAAACATACTGCAAAGCTACAGTAATCACAACAGCATGGTACTGGTACAAAAACAGGTGCACAGATCAATGGAACAGAATTGAAAGCCCAGAAATAAAACCACATATCTATGGACAGCTTATCTTCGGCAAAGGAGCTGAGGGCATACAATGGAGAAAAGAAAGTCTTTTCAACAAATGGTGCTGGGAAAACTGGAAAGCCACATGTAAAAGAATGAAAATTGACCATTCTTTTTCACCATTCACCAAAATAAACTCAAAATGGATCGAAGATCTAAAAGTGAGACCTGAAACCATAAGGCTTCTAGAAGAAAACGTAGGCAGTACACTCTTTGACATCAGTATTAAAAGGATCTTTTCAGACACCATGTCTTCTCAGAGAAGGGAAACAATAGAAAGAAGAAACAAATGGGACTTCATGAGACTAAAGAGCTTCTTCAAGGCAAATGAAAACAGGATTGAAACAAAAAAACAACCCACTAACTGGGAAAAAATATTTACAAGTCATATATCTGACAAAGGCTTAATATCCATAATATATAAAGAACTCTCACAACTCAACAACAAAAAATCAAACAACCTGATCAAAAAATGGGCTGGAGACATGAACAGACATTTCTCCAAAGAAGATATACGGATGGCCAATAGGCACATGAAAAGATGCTCATCATCGCTGATCATCAGGGAAATGCAAATCAAAACTACACTAAGATATCACATTACACCCATTAGAATGACAAAAATATCTAAAACTAATAGTAGCAAATGTTGGAGAGGTTGTGACAAAAAGGAACCCTCATACACTGCTGGTGGGAATGCAAACTGGTTCAGCCACTATGGAAAACAGTATGGACATTCCTCAAAAAATTACAAATAGAACTACCATACGATCCAGCCACTCCACTACTGGGTATCTATCCAAAGAGCTTGAAGTCAGCAATCCCAAAAGTCCTGTGCACCCCAATGTTCATTGCAGCATTATTTACAATAGCCAAGACGTGGAAGCAACCAGAGTGCCCATAACAGATGAATGGATAAAGAAGATGTGGTATATATATACAATGGAATACTACTCAGCTGTAATACAGAACAAAATCATTCCATTTGCAATAACATGGATGGACCTTGAGGGTATTATGTTAAGTGAAATAAGCCAGTTAGAGAAGGATAATCTCTGTATGACTCCACACATATAAGGAATTTAAAAATGTGGACTAAGAGAACAGTTTAGTGGATACCAGGGGAAAGGTGGGGTGGGAGGGTGGGCACAAAGGGTGAAGTGGTGCACCTACAACATGACTGACAAACATTAATGTACAACTGAAATTTTACAAGATTGTAATCTATCATTAACTCAATAAAAAAAATAAAATAAAAAGCAGTTTATTTTAAACTTTGTGTATTTGTTATCTATTACTGAGTAACAAATTACTTCAAAGCTTAGTTGATTAAAACAGTAAATATTATCTGACAGTGTTGTGGTCAGGAATAGAGAGCAGCTTAGCTGGGTGGTTGGTTCTGGCTCAGTGCCTCTTGTGAGGTTGCTGTCATCTGACGGCTTGACTGGGGTGGGGGGTTCCTGGGGGCTTGTATGCTTGGCAAGTCAGTGCTGGTTGTTGTGCAGAGGCCTCACTTCTTTGCCATGTGGATCTGTCTCTGTACAACTGCTTGTGTGGCTCTGCCCTTGAGTGAGTGATCCAAGAGAAAGCAAGGAGGAGGCCACCCTGTCTTTTATGATCTCGTCCTGCAAGTCTCACACCATCTCCTCTGCCACATTCTGTTCATTAGAAGCTAATCCCTCAGTGGAGCCCACATCCAAGGGGAGGAGAATGAAGCTCCTTCTCTTGAAGGGAAGGGCGTCAAGGAACTTGTGTACGTATTTTAAAACCACCAGTAAACGCTTGAATTTCTAAACTGATATACGTTTCACGTGAATTTTGCAGTGCTTAACTATTCTTCAGAGACTAGATGTTTGGCTCTCTGGTGGGAGCGACCTTTGTGTGTGGAACCGAAGATTAGATCTCCTGTGTAAGACTAGTCACCTTTCTGATACAGGTAAGAAACAAATCAACGTAATTGTGAACTATGATTGACAGACTCTGAAAGACACAGAGAGTCTTAAGAGACTTTCCATGGAGACAGACGTCAATATAGGGGATTTTTTCTTTTTATTTCTGAATATAACATGTAGCCATATTTCTCCAGGTTAAGGGATAGGTAAAATATATTTTCATCCCAAATTGGAAGGAGAAGACCCTGCCTTCTTTTGGCTTCCCCTTCCCTTCTAACAGAATTTCTCAAAAATGCTCAAGAAAAATCTGTCCATGTGTGCTGTTGTGCTGTGTTCATAAACTGAGTTTGATGAGTACCTTGACACCTGGAAGCAGACTTTTATGACTTTACAAGAGCGTTTTCTTCTTCATTTGTGGAGTCATTGGACTTTGAATAGATTGCTAAGGATGACCTCATTTTATAATTGGCTTTACTAAAGAGTTCATTCATGTGCAAACTTACTTAAAAAATTCTATTTTCTCAGAGTTCTGTTGACATACATTTTTGGTTTTAACAGAAAAAATCAGTTTGATTTCTGTTGATACCCAGGATCTTAAAAAATAAAATTAAAATCTATTCAGAGTAAAAATAAGTATAAATGAGTACATTTAAATGACAGTAACCTTGAAGTCATGTGATACACCATTAACTATTTTTGTTTCTAAAAGTAATCGAATGAACCCATGGACATCCTAGAAAGAATATTATTAAGCATATTGTTGACGTCTTAAAGATAGCAGGAGCCCTGTGAATTGAATTTACAATTCGTAGTTGGAACTAGCTTATCTCCACGTAGGTATTATGAAATATCAGAAAAATAATGTGGTATCTTAGGAAAAGTAAATCCATACCTTATTAAGGGTTACAATTTAACTCTCAGTTCAGCATTTTATCACTAGTAATCTTGTTTGAATTTAGAGTGTATTTTCATGTTTTCTGTTATCATGAGTTACATCTCTTTATTTACAGGTACATTTTCTATTTCTTACAGTACCCTGTGGTTATCTGTGAATTTTGTTCCAGGAATTATTAGTAACTGTGTTGTGACATATTGAAATCAGGGCTGTAAAGAATCTTTTGTATGTTAATAGAAATAACCACCTATTGTTGCAGTCTCTCTTTCTTTTGCAAGTTTTCTTTAAGTACCATACATGAGTAGTCAGAGAATTGCCCTGTTTATTAGTGTCTCAAGAGATGGCAGAACCTTTGGGAGAATCTGCTGGAAAGCTTTGAAAAGGCCGTGGGTTTTTCAAAGCTTTTTGTGATTTGGGTTTTCCAAATTACAGGATGCCAAGTAGGTGGGTAGCAGTGCTGTTAGGCCCTTATCTCATGAAGCTCCTTCCATAAGCCTTGCTTGATTCATGGCTAGCAGGGCTGTTAGGGACAGTCATTCTGTATTTGGAAATAAGCAAAGATAATCGTAGTCATATGACACGATAGAAAGAGCCTTGGCCTAGAAGACAGGACGTCATGCCCTTTCCAGCAGTGTGCTCTGTGATTCTGTGTGTTAAGTTGCTACTTCTGGATTATTGAGTTTCCGGGATTTTTGCTTTACAAATAATTTGATAAACATTTTTTTAAGAAGCTGTTTTCTGCATCTAGAATTCTCTTGCTACCCTTTCCCCTGCTCCCCTGTCTCCTCCACTTCTTTATCTTATACCACTCTTCTTCCCCTTTCTCCTCCCCGACCATCACCTCCTTCTCCTCAAACACGGGAAAATACAAAACATCCTGTTCGAACAGCCCTATGAGGAGGAAAGATTTTGCCAGAAATACTTCCAGAATCACAAAGTGCTAGTCTTTTGATGGGTGGGAAGGTAAAGCAAATGAGTAGAATATTTTCCAGATTTCTAGATTTGTTATAAATTATATATATGTAAATTACATATTTCATAATGGAAAAATTAACTTTAATAAACAAGTTTTTGCGAACACTTGTGTTGGTTCTGAATCTAATATATCAACTCTTTAATTCTTGCTGACAAAAGTAATAATTGTAACTTATCTTACAGAAGTAATGGTTCCTCTAATATCATTTCATGATTCAGCCATAAAAAGATACTCAGAACTCTATACTTAAATAAATAAGTGAAATGTGGTGGAATGTTGAATCTGATTATTTTAGTAATGCAAGGAATTTCGTAAATGTGTTAATTGATTATAAACATGCTATTTGAAGGCTGCTTTCTTAGCTGTTGACTGTTGGCTAACTCGTTTACTGCCAGCGAGCCCGCTCCGACTTCTTAAATTTATATTGAGGAAAATGCCCGTCTCACGTCTCGTTGGAGCTAGCCATCGTATCAGTGGTGATGGTGATTATCTTAAGGGGTCCCTGGTAAGTAATTTCACCACGATAGTAAAAATATTCAAAGAGCATATCCTATTCTTAATAAATCAATAATGTCTTCCAAAGGTCTCACCTGCTTTTCACAGAATCATTTTGCACATGTGAGGGAGCCAGGAAGTGTGAGGTAGCAAATTGTGTGTGCTCACCCCGTATGGGAAATGACTGACATAAAGCTGAGAGCGTTCTTTTTGGTGTAATCCATGAGGAAAATAATTTGACCTTTGTTTTATATATTTTTGAAGGGGTCAGTGCTTTGATTGAAATCCCTAAGAACTGTGTTGTGGCAGCAGTTGGCAAAGAGCTGAGTGAGTATGACTCTTTTTTTTCTTTTATTTCTTCTTTTTAAAATTTTACATTAGACTTGTGTATACATTTTGAAAAGACTGATTAGTTTTGTGTTTAAGGGACGTCTGCCCCTGCCCAGTCTTGGCCTCCTGGGATTGTTGAAGTGACGTGGAGACCGAGACATTTGCAAAACGTTAGGTCAGTCTTTGTACCACCCTTGGTCTAACATAGCCGGGTGGGCAAGGTGCCCCACTCCTCTGATGCCATTTACGTTCCTGTCTTCCCTGTCGCTGATCCACACTCGTCCAGTCACTCAGCAAAAATTTTAACCCCATAAAACAACTGTCAATGTTCTGGAAACTGAAGACTTGAGTTGGGAGGGTTGGAGGGGGATTATTCTGGGGATTCCCTAAGGCAGAAACTGTGGAGTTTTTGCCTCTGGAAGCCAGAATGAGACTCCTTTTCTCGGGGGGAGTCGATGCCATTTCTCTCAGAGCAGTAGGAGAGCAGAGGGAGGGGAGCAGGAGAAACTTTGTAAATGTCTAGACTGACATAAACATGCCGTTTGGAGGCCGCTTTCTTAGGTCCCTGCCAGGGAGGCCGCAGTAAGGAGAGCCTCGTGCGCTCGCTGCCATATGAACAGAATTTGGGTGCCAAGAAGAGGTGGAGTCAGCGTGCTTCTTAAGAGCTACTTCTTTCTTGAGGAATTTGTCTCCTGGAGCCCAGAGGGCTTGATGTTGCCTGTGCTGCTTCCAGAGACCAGCCCCGATCTGTGCTGTGTTTGCACGGGGCCGTGAGATGTGAGCGAATTGTTCACCGCTCAGTAACTGCCGTCTGCAGGCCCCACTGCTCTGCAGCCAGGTTTCTCGTTCTTCAGCTGACCTTTCCAGGTCTAACGGTGTCTGAGTAGTGATTTTCTAGACCCTGTCCTTGTCCTTTCCTTTTATAAGATAGTTTGTAATTTTGTGTTTAGATTTTTCTTCTTCCTTCCTTGCAGAAATTCAGTTTTCCTGTATTCTCCATCGAGCTGGACAGACGCTTAGCTCTTCCCTGCTTCTCTCCTCTCGGAGCCAATCAATCACTTTGTGTTTAGCTGGTTTTTCTCTAACTTGGCGGTTCTCAGACTTTAGTGTGCGCCCGAATGACCTGAGGGCTGGTTAAAAACCCAGTTGGGGGCCTTACCCGCAGAGTTTCTAACTGAGGAGGACTAGAGTGGGCCTGCGCTTCTGTGTTGCTAACAGTGGCTGCCCTGGGGGCCGTGCTCTGAGGCCTGCTGCTCTCAGTAGTTTGTTCCGCTCCTTTGCACCTCACTGCTGTTGCCTGTTCGGGCTCTCGTCTCCTCTCTCGCCTGGTCCACTGTGCTGCTCTCCTGACTTATCTTCCCTTTGCTCCTTAGTGCCTCTCACGTGCCTTCTCCTCCCCGAGTTCAGTGTTTCTCGGACACACTCTCCGTAGATGCTAGAGGGATCTGTCTAAAATGCAAGGCTGCGCCCCTACGTAACAGCTTCAGAGCCTTTCTGTCGCCTACAGCAGTCGTTTCTAGAGGCCCAAGTTCTGACTAGGACGAAAGTTCAAACTTCCGGAGATCACCATAGTTTGCCGAATTTTTATTTTGCTTAGTAAAAACATTAAAAGACAAAAACAAAAATCCAAACAAGTGACCATTTACCACCCTCATTTTGTAATTACTTTTTAACAGCAAAGTATGAGGAACATGATCTCAGAAAAAAAGAATATTCAATTTAAATTGAATACATTTGGTTTTATAAAAAACTCACATGGGCCTTATTTTTGCTCCCGTTGAATGAAATATGCCCTAGAGGACCAAGGTGAGGACTCCAGAAGCCTACAAGGTAAAGTCCGGACCTTTCACCATGTCAGCTCGGCCCCCAGTTATCTGCCTCCTGCCTCCCTGAGCCCCGGATCTCTCATTGTCACCACTGGATTGTCTGGGAGTCCCACCTCCCCCGGGGGGGGGTTGGCACCTCTGTGCAGTCATTTCTGCTGTCACCCTGTTCCAGGCTTGTCCTCCTACTCGTCGTCCTCCTTGGTCTGGCTAATTCCTACTCCCTCTTTAAGAGCTCAGCTCCAGTGTCTCTTTTTTTGAGGACGAAGCCTTCCTTGCCTAACACCTCCCTCCCGGCTGTTTTCCTCTGTGTCCTCACAATCTCCTATCTCGTAATCTCCTATCTCATTTCACTTGCTACTTTAAAAAAAGACTTCTGCTTACTTTTCGTTGTCTCCTCGCCCCTCCCCTTCAGAATGGGAGCTCCTTGGAGACCGGAAATTTCTTGTTCTTCTTTCTGCTAACAGATGAGAGATTTTCATCAACTGAATGAGTGAATTCATTGAAGCAGTAATAAAAGCCATACCGACGCCTCAACAGGGGTTAGAATGTCATCTGAAACAAGGACCACGTGGAAGCTGGTTTTACTCAGAAAGTAATTTATAAAACATAATGTTCTTGAAAACGAGGTTCTACATTTTACTTTGCTCTATCATAAAATAAATATGCAGTGCCATTTTTCCTTATATTAAAGGAAGTTTCATTCCTGTAAGTGGAGTATTGTTTCTGTCTCCAGGAGCCAGCTCGCGCCCGTGTCCTTGGTTCAAGCGTCCCACGCGCATTTCCCTGTCTCTGTAAGGGCGCCTTCGGAAGGAAATGTAGTTCCTTTGTGCCGCAGTGACTTTGAGGCTTTCCTGGCTCAGCAGGGCCGCGGCTCTGGGACTTCAGCCTGGCCGAGAGGCCGGGCTTGTTTTCTTAACCCTTTTCTAGAATTGACTGTTGCTTCTCTTCTGTCCTCTGATCTAATTCGTGTTTGTTTTATTTCCTTGAAGTTACTGCATGGGTGACCCCATGGATGCTCGTCTGTAGAGGCTGCATTTGTGGGCTCACTGAAGAGTTTCACATTGTGTTTAGTCCTTTGTAGTTCTTTCTAGAAACCAACTTTGGCAGGTTTCTTTTTCTTGTCAGTATTTCAGGTTATGATCTCTGTTAGTCTGATTAAACAGTACGTTGCCTGTTATTCCACAGCTCCAGTCTCAGGGTTATTTGGTGGTGTTCCAGCTGCAGCAGTTTACACAGCTTTCATGGGAATCAGGGAGAATCCCCTTTGTATTGACGGGAAGACCTTCTTCTTTTGACAGCCACAGTTGCAATGTGAATGGCTGTCAGGATTAAATAACCTTGCTAGAGATTTGCCAGTTTGAAAACATTGTCCAGAGACATAGAAAGAAATGTGGCGTGATGTATTTTCCAGAAAGGAGTGTGAGAAAGGAGAGAGACTTAGTAAGGAGCCGCCACTTGGAAAGGATGTGACCTCTGAGACCTGTCCGCTTCTCAGGTGTTAGTCCCTAGTCTGTGAGCATCCGCGGCGCTTGATGCAGTGGCTTATTTTAGCGCACAGTATGCTGAACATCAGCCTGGCCACAAGGCTCCCTCCCACTCTAGGCGGTGAGTGTTTCAGCAGTGGCCGGGCCTTATTCTCATTTGATGTCTGAGTGCCTGGAACATAGTAGGTGAATAGTAAATGTTTGTTGATAGATTCTCTCCAGTTGGTTTGATTTGGGGTTTTCTGTATGGATTAAAATTAGAATTTATATGCTAGTTTAAATAAAAGTATTTGTTACAGTCAGATAATGAGTAGAGCGGCATATAGGGCATCTAGAGGGTCCTGCTGTAGTGAGAAGAACCGTGTGGCACGCAGAGCCACAAGGCACGTGCTCCTCAGAGAATTCACCCTTTAGTGCTGTACGCCTAGGTATTAAGAAAAGTTAAAAATGGGGCCGGCCCCGTGGCCAGGTAGTTAAGTTCGCGCTCCGCTTCAGCAGCCCAGGGTTTCGCCAGTTCGGATCCTGGGCCCAGACGTGGCACCGCTCGTCAGGCCACGCTGAGGCGGCGTCCCACATGCCACAACTAGAGGGACCCACAACTAAAAATACTCAACTACCTACTGGGGGGTTTTGGGAGAAAAAGGAGAAATAAAATCTTAAAAAAAAGAAAAAAAGAAAAGTCGAAAGACGCAGCGGTTGAAGTCTTCACTGAGTTGAAGTTAAACGTGAGTTTGTAGCTTATTCTGTAGCAGTGCTTATGGCCTGGGAACCTGAGTACAGAAAGCTGACAGTGGAGATGACTGAGGGACGTGGGCCAGCCGCTGGCTGAGAGATGGGGCCGCCGGCGGACGTGCACGGAAGCCTGGAGAGGACAGGGCTCCATGGTTGGTAGTGGGTTTAGAATAGTTTATTAAGGGGTCAGGGTTCTAAGGACACACTCAGGATTTTCGCAGATCATTTCAAAGATCTCAAGCATTTGAAAGAAGTATTTTAAAGTGGTATGAATGACTCTCTTTGGAGATGGATTTTTCAATATTTTAGGTATTTCTCACTTAATAAATTGCTGGCTTTTTGAACAGAAATAGAATTTTATCTTCTACGACTATTTTAATAAAATTTTGTCTGTCTTTTCGTTCAGTAATTTTCAAGTTGGTCGCACCCACAGAAGGATCACTAGAATGGAATATTCTTGAAGTTAAGCGCCTCCTTGATCACCAGGATAACATTCTCTCGTTGGTTAATGTCAACGGTAAGCTCATCGTGTGCATGTTTGTATTATGTGAAATTTTATACTTGTTATCGTAACCTGTTCTGAACTTCAGTCTTGTTTTGTTTTAGGATTCTAGAATTACCGTCATTAAAATACGCTTTAGAGTAGTGAGGACTGCCAGTCTCTTGTACTTGGAGGTTAAGCCAGTGGAACTGATCCAGTTTCGTAGATTAGTCAGTTCAAGACTTAGGCACAAGGAGAAGAGTGGAGTAGGGCAGGGAAAAGAGGTGATGGGGGGAGCATAATTATCTCAGGCACTCCTTGGTAGCTGTGGGATGATTGTCATAGGCTGTAAATACTAATGCTTAGTGGCATTTTGGTAGCTTTGGCAGTTGGTTCTGGCTAGTTAGTTCCTCTTTTGTAGACTAGCCAGTACAATATTATTTAGCAAGTTATACACTTACGATAGAAGGAGCAAGAGTCAAGCCCGCTGTATTCATGGTTGAAGACTTTCAGAGAGCACCACCGAAGTAAGGTAAAGGTCTACAGAAAATGGTCATATCTGCCCTTCCTCATGGTGGTGGCTTTTGACTTGCCGGCCATCCGATTTGGCTTCATAATGATTTTAATGAGTATCTCCTGGAGCTGAATCTGACATCAGATAAGATAGGACATCAGGCAGGAGAGGATCACAAACCACAAATCCTGGGATTTAGCTAGTTCACTTGAATATAAATGTATAAATAAATATAAAATAAATAGAAATAAATAATATAGATAAAGTGACACCTTCTATCATCAGAGCTCTGCTGAGTCGTCTGTGTTCCGAGGTCAGAAAAGAGGCCTCCTGGATGTCTTTAGTTTGATAGTCTGGCGGAGACAGTAAGAGGGTCGGTAGGGATGCCATGAGTGTGATGTGGTGGGAGGACTGGGCTGCACCCCCTGACCTGAGACCTGGGTTGGCTCTTTTGAACAATACTCTGTGTAAACAGGCAAAGGGAAAGGGAGGCACAGACAGCATCAAGAGTAGTCTCCATTTGTGTGCCATTCGGTGACATTTTCAGATATGCCAGTGAGAATGTCCCTCCCAGCTTGAAAATTGTCCTCTCTAATCGCCATCTTCTTGTACAGCCCAGCTGCAAGTCTAAGGACCAGATTGTCTATGGAGATACAAGTAATAATGTTGGGAGCACCCCTTTATTTTTCTCTGGGGGCTCTTTTTCCTCTAGCCGTGGATGACAGCACAAAAGGCAAGTTCTTGTGTGGGAGACCCTCTGACATGGAGCCATAAGCTCCAAGGCCCTGGAGCTGCTGAGAAAAGCACAGCAGTGTTCTGGCCTGTTACGCTGGTCGTGCCGCCTGCTTGTCCCATTTCAGCGGTGAAGCATTGGTACCATGAGCCAGTGTGCTTCCCTAACAGAGGCCAGGGGATGCTGCTGAAGAAGCCTTGACTCCGTGGCACCTCTTTTGCTGTGTGATATGCAGAGAAGCTGGTGTAACAGTTTACCCAGGAAAGCTTCCTTCAAGTATTTCTTTGCCAACTACTTAAGGGAAGGAAGATGGGAAGAAAACGCAAAAAAATTGTAAATGAGAATTTTTTACTTTCTAAACTCCATGACCGTAAAATTACAGTACAGATAATAAGTAAGCCAAAAGCCTATATAGGAATCATATGGACAAGTAGTCTGGTAAAATTTGAAAACACCGTGACAGTCTAATCTTGTCCTTTGCACAGGCATATCGGCCGTGCTGCCGATTTTGGCGATCTCGAAATGATTATGTTGTGCAGTTCCCAGCTCCACTCTCAGCCCTGCTTCTTTGTCCCCACCATTGACCCATGAAAGATGTGGCCCAGGGCAACCTTAGAAGGGTACAACAGAACGCTCACAAATGTGGGTCATGGATATCAGGTTTGCTACAAGATCCGAATGCTTGAGCAGAAGGTTTTCTAAGACAGACAAGATAACTTTGCCTGTCTCTTCTGGCAAAAAGCTCTGGGTGCTTCTTCTTTATTTTATTCCTTTTCTTGTTTTGTGCTGACAGCATGGGATGGTAATCACAAAGTATTAGTCCTTGTGAGGGATGGGTAGACAGATGCCAGGTGAGATTTTCATACTAAGTGACTTGATACTTACACAGGATGAAAATCTATCCACATATAATATGTCGTTGAGGTTGTTTGGTGTGAAACATTTTGAATGACCTGTTTGAGAATATAAATAATTAGCGCAGTGATAAACTGCACTGACTCAGGTAAATGCCAGTGTTTTGTTTGTAGTGAAAAATTCCAACTGGGCACGAATCCTTTGTTTCTATTACCCAGAGGAATCACAGACGCTGGGAGGGTTAAGGCGGAGCAGGCGGCCGTGTGGTCTCAGGAGCTCATGTGCAGAGCTGGGGTCAGGAAGAACCTTCACTCCTTAGCTTCTCTGGTTCTTTTGTAGTTTGAGTGAAATTGGAAAGAGGGAAAGGGATAGAAAAGAAAGTCGTGGAAAGCTTAGTACTGCCTTAAATTGCCCACTATTAAAACTAGGAGCCTATTTCTCTCCACAGATAAGAAACGAACTTATTTCTCCATAGAGCAAATTCTAGAGAGTCTGTTAATAAACTGTAGAAATTGGGCTTGGAACCAGGACGAAATAATGTTTATGTGTATTATTGCTGGTAATTCCTTATTTCTAAGAGATTGTTCATCTCCTCATTAGAGATTTCTGTCCTGCTTGTTTATTTGATAAATGGAATAATTAAATCACAATTACTCGTTTATGTATTCCTAAATTACAAGTAACTGGATATTTTAATACCATCAATATGGAATAATACCAGGGGCTCAAAATAATACCAGGGACTCAAAAAATAACAGTTGATGTCTTTTTTAAATGACTACACATTTATATTTAATTTGACTTTTACCGTCATTCTCATATAAGGCATGAGAAATCCAAGACAGAGAAAGGTTAAAGGACTTCCTAAGGGCCACATGGCTGGTGGCAGGAGAGCCAAAGCTAGAGCTTGGGTTTCTAGACTCGCAGTGCCTTGTTCTGTTGTACTTTACCCTAAATAGTAAGAATTAAAGTAAATTACATTTCTTTAAGATAATTTTTAGTCTCAGCAGTTGTACATTTTCTGTTAAATACATAATTTGTAAGGTGTCTTAGTCGGCCCACTAATTTCATTTTCTTTAAAGGTTTAAAAAACTTGTTATTGTACAAGTAATACATAGTTATAATAGAAAAATGAGAAAATAGTGAGAAACATAAAAAATGTAAAAATTAAAATTAAAAGCATCCCACCATACGGTATTAAGCACTGGTCCATATCCTTCTAGATGTTTTTCTGGGCATATGTATGTGTGTGTATGTGTACACATATGGTTTTCTGTTTTGTAACAGTATGTCATGAATTATATTTCCATATCATGATAAACATACTTTTCCAACCTAATTTTCAATAACAGCATTACTGTTTCATTTTGTGGATATCTTATTTATTTATTCGTCTCCAATTGGATGTTTAGGTTATCTTTAGATTTTTAATATTATGTGTAACAACCTTGTTACATATATCTTTTGTGTGCTTCCCTCAGGGTAAATTCCTAGAAGTGAATTGTTGGGTCGTTGGGTTTACATTTTCTAAGGTTTTTGATGCACACTACCAAATTTGAGAGGATCGCCCCAGTTCATACTGGGTGTTAGTAATGCGTGAGTGTGCTGATTCCCTGTGCCTTTGTCAGCATTGCATATTTTCCTGTCTGATAATCTTTCCCAATTTGCAAGTCAGTAGGCAGTATCTCATTGCTTTTAGATTTCTTTGATTATTAAGAGAGTTGAACATCTTTTCATGTGTTTACCGATCATTTGTATTTCTTGTTTTGCCTGTTCAGGTCCTTTGCCCACTTTTTCTGCTAGAGTATTTATCTTGTTCTTAGATTTCCAAGAACTCCTCATGTATCAAGTGTAATAAGTCTATTTTGACTTTTAAATTGCAAATTTCCCCCAGCTTTTTGTTATTTAAATGTATGAGTTTTAGGGGCCCTGCCCTGGGGCTGAGTGGTTAAGTTTGAGCGCTCCGCTTAGGCAGCCTGGAGTTCACTGGTTTTGATCCTGGGTGCGAACCTACACACCGCTCATCGAGCCATGCTGTGGCAGCATCGCACACAGGAGAACTAGAATGACCTACAACTAGGATGTACAACCGTGTACTGGGGCTTTGGGGAGGAAAAAATAGAAGAAGGTTGGCAACAGATGTTAGCTCAGGGCCAGTCTTCCTCACCAAAAAGCGTACTTTAAAAAAAAAGTATGACTTTTTTGCTAAGTAGATATTTGCAGATCTCTTTGCCCACCCCCTACCCTGCCTCCTCTACAGCCTTTAAGTACTCCATGTTCATATAGAAGTGTTCACCTTTATTTCTTCGATCCTTTAAGTACCTTTAATGCTTTAATCTATTTGGAACTTATTTTAGTACATGTGGAATGATAGAAAACATCTATTGGCCTCTGCCCCTAGTTCCTGGCACAGAGCTAAAACCCCTGTAGTTTCCTACGTGGTGAGAGCACAAGGAGCGTCTTGTGTTCTGATATTTGGTCTGATGTTTCCTGACACAGAGCTGCTGGATAAAGCCCTTGGAATTTTCTGTGTGGTAGGAGTGTCTTTTGTTCTAATGAGGCCACTCTTTCTTGGTGGTTTCTGGGTGGGGGCTGGCCACCAGAAAGACCAAGCCATGATTAGAAACTTGGCATTTCCAGCCCCACCCCCCATTCTCCAGAGAATGGAGTTAATAATTGATCATGCCCACGTGATATAGTCTCCATAAGAATCCTGAAAGTATGGGGTTCGGAGAGCTTCCGGGTTGCCAAACATGTGGAGGTGCCGGGAGAGCGGCGCCCTCGGAGCGGGCATGGAAGCCTCACAACCCTTCCTGCATCTCTTGCCCTCCTCCATCTGGGTGTTCAGCTGTATCCTTTATCATGTCCTTTTATGGTAAACTGCTAAACAGTGAGTAAACTGTTTTCCTGAGTTCTGAGCTGCTCTAGCAAATTAATTGAACCCAAGGAAGGGGTGAGAACTTCTGATTTATAGCCGATCAGTCAGAGCACAGGTAACAACCTGGACTTGTGATTGTCAACTGAAGTGCAGACGGTCTTGAGAGGCTGAGCCCTTGACCTGTGGGATCTGACGCTGTCTCCAGGTAGATAGTGTCAGAATTGGTTAAATTGTAGGACACCACCCCAGCTGGTGTTCCAGAATTGCTTGGTGTGGGAAACCATCTCCCCGACCCCTAGTGTCAGAAATGCTGTGTGTGCCAGTGGTATGAGAATAAAGGAGAAACGCAGGAAAAGTGTAGCTTTTCTAAACAGCCTGTGATCCAAGGTAAGGTTCTTTTATTTTTATTCCCCAAATACTTAACCAAATATTCCAGCATGAGGTGTTTCTTTCTTCACTGAATTGAAATGCAGTCATTATCACGTACTAAATAAGGAAACTTGAGTCTATTTCTGGCTCTTCTGTTCTGTTATATTAATCTTCCTGTTTGGCTTGTGTAGGTACTTCACTGTTGCAATTATTGTGGTTTTATAGAGCATTACTACTGGGCAGTCCATTAATTTTTACATTTAGCCTAGGTTAAATGATCAATAATGAGACGTATATGAACTCTGCCTAGATCTGAGCTTTGTGTCCGGCTCCCACGTTGGAGAGCTGATCGTCTGGGATGTCTCGGACTGGACCGTGCAAGCCTGTGAACGCAACTTCTGGACACAGCTGGACACCCAGCAAGAAATAAAACTCTGTCAAAAACCAAATGACATTTCTATTCATCATTTCACATGGGATGAAGAGGTAAAAAAAAAAAATTGAGACAATATCTGTAAATTTTTGTAAATTTGCCTTTTTTAATAAACCCAATTTCTAATTATTAAAATTTAATCTCATGATGGATATAGAAAGGTGTCATTCCCCATGTTCAGATTGTGCTTTAAAATGTTCTGATAGTTTTCAAAGATTGCACACTGCATTACAAAAGCCTTTTCATCTTAGCTCCTATCCCAGAGGCAGGTGGCCACAGATTTAAAAGCTCTCTTGCAACTTTGGGTTGGATTAAATAACTCCCTAGGATTTGAGGATAATGTTAAAATTGTTTTAAGAAACACTTTGGGAAAGAATCCTTTTGAAGATGCGGGTGCATTTCCTAGTGAGGTAAAGGAAATTAGAAATTTCAGGAACATTTTCCTTTTAGTCTCCTGGCACCCTGGGGCAGGACGGCCATGCGGGGATTATGATTTCAGTCCTGCACGCGTTGGCCGGGTTGCTCCGGAAGCTCTTCTCATCTTTTTTTGCAGCAAGAGATTAGTACAAATGCATCACTGAATCCTGGCTCTGATCTGAGCATCTCTTCTTTTAGCTTCAGGGGCAGAAAATGTGTTTAAAGGTTACTTTTTAAACGTCATCACAAGAAATGTTTAAGAGCTGGAACCGTTGAGGAGGGGGTGTGCGGAAGCTTTTATGGCACTTTATTTTGTGCCTTTCTATGCTGTTTAAATTTTCTAATTGTTTGCATGTTATTTTTATTTAAAAATTTCACTAATAGTGTTTTGGATGGGGAGAGTATGCTCCATTTTTTTCTTTGCACCTCTTTCACTTTAAAAACAAAGCAGAATAGGGTAAAGAATGCTAATATAGCCAAAGATTAAGCTTCTTTATATCCCGACTTTATTTTGAAAAGAAGAAATACATGTGATAAAAAAACAAAGATGGAAACTACATTTCTAAGAGCTGTAGCCCAAAAAATTATATGTATTTTTAATTTGATACCTTTTTCTCACTTTTGTAAAAATTAGTATTTAAAATGTTTTTTCATTTTGTATTCTTTTTAATCTTAAAAATTTGGGTTGATGTTTAGTAACTGCTATAAATGCCTGATAAAGTGTTAGTTTTCCCTAATTTTCCTTCTTTTATAGGGGGTTCTTTCTTTCTACAGGAAGCCATTAATTATTGATGATAGGTGATTGATAGTTACTGTGTTGAGGAAATGCTGCCCAGAAGCTCATTAATTCTCTAGTTGTTTTTATCATTTTCCTTTCTTTCCTTTTATAATTTAAGTAGATAAATCACTTGGACTCTGCACAGTTTCCTGGGCTGTGGAACTAGTTTCTGGGGTTTCTTTGCATTGACTGCTACCCATGGGGCTCTAGATTTTAGTAAGTTGCCCAGCTGTTCTCAGCAATGCCCCTGGCACTGGCCCTCAGCTTGCATTGCTGAATGCAGAGCACCCATCCTGAGGAACAAGGGGATCACTCCAGATCCAGACTCTGGTAAGCCTTGGAGGCAGGTTGTGGTCCAGATACTGTAGGTCTGAGTTGGGTTTGTAGTGTTAGAGGCCACATGAGAAGGGTTCTTTGGTGAAAAAAGGGAGGCAATGTGTAGGGATTTTTGAAAAGTCTGCCTCACTGGGTACCTACTGAATAAGAATGAATGATTCCAAGACAAGTGCTCCAGAAAGTCTGGTGACTTGAAAAATAATTTCAGAAGCTAGGTGCTGTGTGCAAGGAAAGAGCGAGGGACTGGAGTAACACCACCTTCATTCTAATACTGACTCCATGTCTTAATTTTTGGTGTGACTTTAATCTTTTTTTTTTTTTTTCGGTGAGGAAGATTTGCCCTGAGTTAACATCTGTTGCCAATCTTCCTCTTTTGGCTTGAGGAAGATTCGCCCTGAGCTAACATCTGTGTCAGTCTTCCTCTATTTTGTATGTGGGTCACTGCCATAGCATGGCCACTAATGAGTGGTGTAGGTCCACACCTGGGAACTGAACCCAGGCTGCCTAAGCAGAGCGTGCCAAACTTAACCACTAGCCCACCAGGCTGGCCCCTAATCTTCTTTTTAATTTTAATTTGCTTATTTGGAAAATGGCAATAGTAGTTGCTTTTTTTACCTTAATGAGATGTTGTGAGGCTGAAATAAGATAAATATTGGTGAAAGTACTTTCAAAAGATTAAAGTTGTTTTAGCAAAAAGGTATTTCTAATACTTTTGGAAAATTGTTTCTGTGAAGCCTTCAGAGGATCTTAAGATGATAGTGCCACTATAGCACATATTTTTTGTATCCTTTATCGGTCTCTTGATTGTGAAGTGCAAGTAATTTTGCTCACATTTTCCAGACAAAAGAAGCTAAGTAATTTTCCCAAGGATATAGTGTTATATGAATGAAAACCTGGGTCGTCCCTCAGCAGCTTCCCCTGCGAGGCCAGCCTGGCGGCCATAGCTCCTTTCTGTAGCTGCGTCTTTCAGGGAAGAAGGAAGTGATGCTAATGGGGGTGATGTGCAGAGCTTTCTCTGTATCAGCGGCTGCACCCTTCTACCTTCTAAAGGCTCTGGGCTTTCGTCAGTGCTTTGGTGTTTGGGCTGAAGGCTAGGAATGGGTAAGATAACAGTGGCTTTCTGATGTCACACCAGGGCTGCAAATCTGTTACACCTGGTAGTGATAAGTACTAGTTTTTTGTCCATTTCTGAACTTCTTTCCCCTCAGAATGTATTTGCTGCGGTTGGAAGGGGTTTATATGTGTATAACCTTCAAATGAAGCGTGTGATTGCCTGCCAGAAAACCGCACATGACTCCAGTGTCCTGCACATTGCCAGACTCCCAAACAGGTACGCATTCCCGTCAGTTCCGCAGCAGGTGAAAGAAGTGCGCTGTTCCCCGGGCCCCAGTGTCATGTCTCAGGAGGCGAAGTTACCTGGCTCCGTGGCTTGACCTGCTATGTTCTTTTGGAAATGGAGAATACCCTATGCTGTCTCCAACGGAAGAGTTAGTGGCAGTATATTACAAAACATACAAGGAGTAGGGTTCAAACGAGTTATATTGAATTTCATTATGATTAGAAGAGATCCTTTAAGATTTGGTATTTATATACAAAGGTAAAAGACTTTTGGGTACTTACTTATATGCCAATTTTTCTTTTTATATTTTCCATTAACCCACCTTTTTGTTGTTGTTTGTTTATGCCAGAATCAAATGGTAGTCTCCTGTTGTCTAAGGCCAGGAAGTGAGGGCTTTCCTCTCCACGTAAATTTGACGGCTGCGTTTCTAGGGGTAAAATTATATGAAGGGAATAGTGTGATTTTCTAGGCGGGATACTTTCAGAGTGAGAGGCACCCTGAGAAGAGAGAGAGTGAAAGGAGGATATTGTGAAAGTGTAATTCATTCCCACTTTCCTGGGTGCATTTTAAAAGATGGAGATGGTATATTTACCACATCTGAGCCAATGTGACAGTATAATTGTGCGTTTCCTGAAGAGAGCTTTTCCTCTGCATTGTCAAGCCATGTTAAACTGGGACTTTTATCCGCTCCTGCCAAGAGCCGAATGAATAAAAGCAGTTGAAGCCTCCACTGATTTTTTCTCTGTGAATTTAGCACTGGCCATCCATGGTGCTCTGTCTTTTATCACTGATTTTCTGTCCTGACAGGCAGTTAATCTCATGCTCAGAAGATGGCAGTGTACGCATTTGGGAGTTACGAGAAAAACAGCAGCTTGCAGCAGAGCCTTTACCAACAGGTGGGTATCTTTTCTCAAAAAGATAGTCTTCTCATTTGAAAGGCAGACTAAAGGCAAAACAGTAACATACAGTGTGCTCCAAATAGACATAAGATGTTTACAGGAAGCATGTGGTCATTGGGATCTGGGATTCACATCTTAATATTGCTTTAAGGGGGAACTGCCTGTTTATTTCAATTCCGTCAAGTAGGACTCTGTTGTTTTGAGGGGAGACTGGTGCTCGGGTAATCTGACCTAATGAAGGAGTCATTCATTTATATTGTCTGTAATTCTGCCTAATACACAAACATAATTTGTACCATCAGATGTCGGCCTCAAGTGTTCTTTCATCCTGGCAGCATTGTCATTAACACCGAACTCAATTTATGGAAAAACACTTTTGTGTTTATATCCTAATTGCGTGAGCTCTCGACTCTCAGGTGTTGGTTTGAAAAACAAAGTCCTGGTTAGTCAGCAGCCTTTCCATGAGAAATCAAAGGCTGGCCCCTCTGGAGTTTCCACTGGTTATCTGAAGTCGTAGGGTATTGATTTTGGACACACAGGGCTACCCTTTGTTGATAGATCTGAATTGTGACTTTTTTGAGACTGCCATGCAGGCATTTTACTTCTCTCCTCTTTCATTCCCAGTGCCTGTCTGTTTATCATGTTGTTACACCCTCACCAGGGGTGAGTAGGGGCCGTAAAAAGAGATGAGCAACAAACCTGGTTAGGTAAGAGAGGAAATGAAATGACATGTTAAAAACCCCGGCAGAGCGCCTGGAAGCATCCCCTTAGCCCTGGACTGAGATAAGCACAGAACGTCTTTGCATTTAAGTTTCTGTGTTTCTCATCTTACATCACTATCGTAAGTAAAGAGCACAGTAATTTGGAAATAACTGAAATGATTGTGTTTTTCCAGGTTTTTTTAACATGTGGGGATTTGGAAGAGTGAACAAGCAAGCCAGCCAACCTGTTAAAAAGCAACAAGAGAACACCACTCCGTGTTCGCTGGAGCTCATCGGAGATTTGATTGGGCACTCGTCCTCTGTGGAGGTGCTGTTTCTAACAGGCGTGCAAATGTCCAGGGGATGCCTGCTTTTGCATCTCACTGCTCTCATTCACTTGGTCTCAGAAAGACCTATGCTTTCTCTCTTAGCTGTAGGTTTTGCTGAATCTAAACATAGGATAGGATAGGTTATAGTATGTGCAATTAGGATCTCCCTTTACAGAGATATGATCTGAGGAAGCAAGGAATATACGTTGCTTCCAAAAAATAGACTTAATCATCATTATTTGAGATAGAGATAGCTGACAATAAGGGCAGTGTGCATAATGTTTGTTTTTTAGATCTATATATGTTATGGTGGTATATAGAGGGTGCATGGAGGGTTGTGGTTATATACGTGGAGCTAAAGCCTTACAGAACCTAATTCCAGGGGCCTTGATCAAATTCATAAACAGCGAGCTGTTTTTATCTCCCTTGAAAGGATGATAATTTGTTAGCTTTAGTAAAACCCAGTGTCTTGATTATCATTGTGCATATTTGAAAGTATTAGTTGAGAATTATAAGATGCATACAATTCTACTTGTAGAAATTCAGATCCATTCATATTCACCACAGGCACCATTGCCTTAAGGAAGGAATAAGATCAGTCGAGATAGAGAGACGATTGGAACTGGTAACAGTACAATGCTAAGAGTCTAAGCAGGGCCCTAAGTAATGAATTTCTTAAATTGCTCTTCCCTCCTCATAGCCAGGGGGGAACACATGACTTTTCATCTGAAAGTGCATTTACGCACAGGACCAGCAGCACCACGCTTGTTATCGAGCATTTCCCATATTTCAGGCACTACACACTGGAGTCTACAGCGAGATGCAAAGTACAATCCTTGCCCCCAGGGATCCTATACTTTAGTAGAGAAGGAGCATGCAGACCTAATAAGCTGTTATTCTCGACTGCTTATGAGGGACCCAGATGAGCACCGGACAGTGAATACTCAGGAATTAGAAGAAAATGGTTAGTGGAAAACATGAGACTTGAGACTTGCACTGACTGGTGAAGGTAGGGTGCGATTAACGCAGCCTCGTGACCATAAGCTCCCTGAGGCCAGGTACCGCGTCCTATTCATCTTTGCTTTCCTCTAACAGGTAGACCAGTCATTTTCGTTTTGCTTTGTTATTCAACTTTGCTTTTGCTTGGGTGGCTGTGGTGTAGATTGGGCGTGGTGAGGATGGGCTCTGGTGGACAGAAGGGCAAAGATAGGATCTCTGTGGTGGCAAGGAGTAGATTGGCTGGGCTGGGCCCTGGGTCCCTGAGAACAGAACTAGTAGGAGAGACAGCCTGGGAAAGTAGTTTGGGGTCAGATTATGAACATCCTTGAATGGAAGGCTGAGGTGTTGGGACTTTATTCTTAAAATAGTAGGAATCCAGTAGAAGTTTTTATGTGGTGAGGGAAACCTTCAAAGTGGCACATTTGTCTTAATATGGAAGAGTCAGATTCTTAGGAATTTTCCCAAGAGAAAGTGTGGATACTTCAGCATTGTGGCTTCATTGAGAAGAGCTGGGCTCTCTCAGGCGCTACCTCCTGAACGTCCTTACTCTTTTATATTTTCACCCTGGCTCCATCCCAGCCCCTCTGCTTGTGGGCTGAATGCTGTCTTTTCCAGCTCTTGAGGAATTTTGCTCCCGTATTCCTCCCTTCAATCCTGTGTCATCAGTTAGGGCCTTAACCTGCTGTCTTTGGAAATGTATGTTATTTCAAAGAAAACTCTCCTCCTACTGTTCTTTAACCTTCTGTTCTCCTTTATCTCACCCTTTCCTTTGAGGAGCTTGTCCTTTTCAGGGCTGCATTCATCTCCTCTCTGATGGCACCTCTCCACTCCACAGTGTCCTTGCTGCTTTCTCATCAATGCTCCGCTTTCCTGTTCCTAGCTTCCAGCCTGTTCCTTCCCCAGGCACGACCTGCCCTTTATTTAGAGAGTTTTATGACGTTATTTGAAGCTTTCTCTGACAATTTCAGTTATTATTGATCTATATCCCCTTTTTCTGAATTTCTGTGGCAAATCATAGTCTGAACTACATTATTTAGTACCTGATTACATAGTCTTTAACTGGTGCCCTAATTATTTCAACTATGATTGGTTTTTACAACTGAATTAGAACCTTCTTGAGGGTAGGGAACATAAGCATCTAGACAGCCAGTAAGTGTTTATGGATTGATGGGTTGTATCTCCTTCTATACAGAGAGCTAAAGCCAGTGTTTATCTTGGAGATTTTGGCAGACATTTTATTGGTAGCCATTTGTGCATAAATAATGAGGCAAGTATAAATAATTAAGTAGGGGCTGGCCCTGTGGCTGAGTGGTTAAGTTCGCGCGCTCCGCTGCAGGCGGCCCAGTGTTTCGTTGGTTCGAATCCTGGGCGCGGACATGGCACTGCTCATCAAACCACGCTGAGGCAGCGTCCCACATGCCACAACTAGAAGAACCCACAACGAAGAATACACAACTATGTACCGGGGGGCTTTGGGGAGAAAAAGGAAAAAATAAAATCTTAAAAAAAAAAAAAAAAAAAAATTAAGTAAAACAGGTCTAGCACACTTCTCCCGACAAAAATCTTAAAACCACTACTTGAAGAATTAGATTGTTCAGAAGATACTTTGGGAATTCACAAACTTTACAAAAACAGCTATTTATAGTTCTGTAGGTGAGCGATACTAACAAAGTTATGATTATTAAAATACTAGATATGGGTTTGGTATTGATATATTTTAGTATTTGTGTATTTGTGTGTGACTGTTGCCAACACTTAAAAATAAAATTTCTCATGGAAAACGATAGGGAGTTTTACAGTCAGGTCCAAAGAAGTCTTCAGGGTACAAATCTTACAAGCACACGTGTTAGTCTAGAATCAGCCACTTCCATTCTCCTTGAAGTTCCCATAATGAGTAGTTTTTAATTTCTTTACAGATGTTTCTGCACTTTGAAGATCACGGACTAGTGACATGCTCTGCAGATCACCTCATTATTCTGTGGAAAAATGGAGAACGAGAATCTGGATTGCGCAGTTTAAAATTATTTCAAAAACTAGAGGAGAATGGCGACTTATATCTGACTGTCTAGTCTAAGGAATTTGGAATACATGTGCATGAATCGTGGACATCAAATATAGGGTAATACTCTGAAAATTATGAACATACTGATCACTTAAATTTGTAATGCATTTTTTTCCTTGTCATTCCGTAAAATTTGTTTGAATTCTTTTTTGTGGGTCTGCCAACCAGCAACAAGTTGCTCCTCAGGTATTGGCACACCCACCAAATAACAGACCACGGGTTTTTCATCTGACTTTTCACATAGCAGTAACCTGAAACCACTGAGGAAGTGGGTCTAATTTCAGCAGTGACTTTTCTGAAAGTGACATTTTCAGATCATAGCACAAATATCTGTTGATTCAGAATTAAATTATACCATTATGTCCTTACAAGTTTTTTTAAAAATTCCACACCAGAAATTGTATGAACTTATGTTTAATGAGTGGAATAGTACTCAGAACCTATTTATTTAATATCATTTTATTGCCTCTAATTAAATTCTTATCACCAGAAATCAGATTTTTAAACTTACATGTAGTCTCTTTCATTTAGCCTTTTTGGATTTTGACTTTGTTTTCGAAAATGAATATTTTAACTAGACCTGTTCATTCTTTTAAAAATTTATTTAAGGAACCTGCGCTTAAGGAAATAAATATACATGATAATTATAGAAGATACTTTGGGAGAAAAATGAAAAAGCCACGCAAAAGTAGGTAGGATGCTATAGCACATCTGGGATTTAAACCTTGAAATCTCCAGAAAACGGACCCCTGCCTGCAGGAGATGAAAGGTGTATAATTGCACCTTGCTCTGCTGTTGGAGTGGGGAATGCTGTTTTTTTGAGCTTCTGAATTTGACCCTAAACCTTGTGAGGAGACAGAAGTAGAGATAACAGTAAAGTTGTGGCATTTATTAGAAGTGTTTTTTTATTTTGTTTTCTGTGGAGCCCATTTGATTAAGGATTCTTGTGATAAATTTAAATATATCCTTTCTCCTGCAAATCCCTCTGGTCTTCAGTTAGTGATTATCAGTGTTCTATAGAGCAAACCTGAATCTCTCTCTGTTCAACTACAACTCTTTTTTGGTGCCAACTGTGTTTAGGCACCACCTAACGACGTTGCACTCACCGATGGACCGCATATATGACGGTGGGCCCGTAAGATTAGTACCGTAGCGCCTAGGTGTGTCGTAGCCGTACCATGTGGGTTTGTGTAAGTGCACTCGCTGATGTTTGCACGACATTGCCTAACGACGCAGCTTTCAGAACTTATCGTTAAGTGACACGTTTAGTGCTAGCTACTGAAATCCCTATGAACTCAAATCAATAGGAAATGAGGGTGTATTTTCCCCCAGTGTGCAGTGGCCTGAACAGCTGTTGGCCAGATGGGCAGCAGACCAGCAGCAGCTCCTCATCTATGCCAGGGGTGAGAGCTGGGTCAGCAGAGTTAGAGACTGCGGCCGCAAGTTCCTGCTTCACCTTACCATTGACTCAAACACGAAACGCTTGAGGAAGCTTCACGTGCGTAGTTTCCTGCAGTGACCGCTGAGATTTGATCATCTGCCTCACCCCACTGGCCTTCTGCCAGAGCAGTCCAATTCTTAGTACCAAAGGGGAGAAAAAGTGTCCCACACATTAAAAAATGGGTGGGTTTAATTGTGGATTATTCTTAAATTTAAACTGCTCGTGAAAGAATGAAAGTAAGTGCCCGGTGACGCGTCAGAAGACTGAGCCTTGTCAGCACTTTCTGCAGATTTATTTGGTCATCACACACGGCCTTCCTGGAATCTTTATCATGTGTTGTTTTTACTAACTTGACAGTTGCTTCCACAACTCCCCACAAAGACTGGGAGAGCTTAGGTCGTCTATGCCAGACCAATGCCGTGATGTTAGACATGAGGAAACGAGACCGGCCGGGTAAGGCCTTGCACCTAGTTAGCTTCAGTCTCATTAGCATCACTGAGCAGCTTTAAAAACAGAAATCAGAGAGGACTGGAATGAGAGAGGCGGCTTATCTATCTACCTGAGGAAAACCAGATAATGTTCACACTCATTATTTCTGTTTAATTCACAATGAAAATAGCTTTATGGAGAAATATATCAAAATTTGTTATCTTGATTAGAGAAGAATAGGAAAATCAGCACTGCCTTTTAGCCAACAAATTGTTGTTTTCCTGGCATATTTGAGGAGGCCCACAGAAGCAGCTTTCTAATCTTTCATCCTGATGCAGGACTGAGGCTGGCATCCCTAACAGGCAGACATGCTCTGTGGGCTGCGTGCATCCGATTGTCGATTGCTGCCGCTGAGTATCTCAGAGTCATTTTCAGCCTTTTCATTTTCCTCTATGGATGGACTTCACTACCTAGTGTTTTCTTTGGGAATTCCTCATTAGATCATGAGTTTGTAAAGTTGTTTTCTTTTTCTTTTTTTAAAAGATTTTATTTTCCTTTTTCTCCCCAAAGCCCCCCGGTACATAGTTGTGTATAATTTTAGTTGTAGGTCCTTCTAGTTGTGGCATGTGGGACACCGCCTCAGCGTGGTCTGACGAGCGGTGCCGTGTCTGTGCTCAGGATCTGAACCGGTGAAACCCTGGGCCGCCGAAGTGGAGCGCGCGAACCCAACCACTTGGCCACGGGGCCGGCCCTAAAGTTGTTTTCTTGAATTACATAAGACATATTCAGTGAATTATATAAGGAATGCGTAGATTTTTAACTGCTTTATTTCCTAATCTCTTCTGGGTTAGTGTTTTGTGATAGTAATCTATTCACATGGAGTGATATAAACCACAGGTGAGTTTTGGGAGCAAATATTACCCTCAGCACCACTCCCGGTCCCTCTGGTAAGACACTAGAGTTAGTTTTCCACCCTGAGAAACTAACCCTCCAACCCATTCACTGGACTTGATGGTTTTTGCTTTCACGAATGCCCTAAGGTCAGAGAGGTGGAGGAAAACAGCAAGATGGGAGGTTCTAGTCGGGGCCCAGACTTGATGGCTGCTCAGTAGTTGTATGTAGACTCCTGCTAAAAGTAGAACTTTCGATTTAGAAGACTTGTAATTGAGGTCAACACATATATGTGCATTTTTCCCATTTCTCTAGCTCAGCTTTCAAAGCTATTATGTTTGAAACACAAGATGTAACACTATGTAGTGTGCCTTGTCATTTTTATTTAAAAATATATGTATTACCTCCTTCTCCGGCTCTAGTCACATAACACAATCAAGAACCTATGCTTTGGGGGCGTTCTGTTATCCCTTCCGTCCATCCTTCTCAAGTCGAGTGGGTTCTGGTTGAACAGATGAGGCTTGTTCTCTGCCCACAAGACTGACCAGTCCTGACTCTGAAGGCAAGCAAATTTTACAATCTTAAATTGGAAGTAAAGAATGACTTAGTTAAATTATAGGGTCATTCTGGTCCAGGAAACAATATTTTGTAACTAACTTCTTCTGGTTAAGCAGTAGTAACACTGTGACTTCTCTCTGTATGAGATAGTATTGCATTTTCCTAAATTAACGTGGCTCCCCTCAACACGGAATGTTTTAGTAAACACTGTGAGAGGCAAGTATAATAGTTTATACTCATCTGATGCACATACCAACTGAAAGACTATGTTTCTAATAAACTGACTATTTGGAGGAATGTACTATTTACTTAGCAACTCAGTAGAAGATTCCACCACAGTAGATGACACTGATGAAGAGCAGAGCTGTGCTGAAGCTCCAGAACCTGGCAGTCTTAAAGCATTTAACATTTTAGTTAATAGGAAGTTAGTTTGCCATTACACTGAGTAAGCTGTAATGTTCATGTAGAAAATGTCAGACATCTGATAAATGTTACTTACCAAATGGAACTGAAAGCAAGATGGTCAGGAGAAGCTTGTCCTGGCCTCAGGCAAGCTTCGGAAGCCCAGGCAAATTATTTAGCCCCTTAAAATGGTATTCTGACATCCTGAATTTAATGTGTTCTGAAAACAAAGTGTGTGACTCACGAAATAAAGGAAGCGAAACCGAAATTTGAAATTATGAAAAATTTAGGCCAAAGAGGTAAAATAAAAACAGCTGTTGGGAATGAAAAATGGCTGTAGGAATTTAGTTACAAGTACTTCACGAAAACATTTCCATCACATTTACATAATGCAGCATTACAATACAAAGCTAGCCGCTGTCCTCAGGAAGCAAGTTCTCTTACAGCTAACAAAAATAATTTAGATACATTTCTTTGCATGGAATTATCATATATGTTTCCATTTTTTGGTACAAAATATAGAAAAAAACATTGGCACATTATGTACTGATAAGTCATTTTTTTCACTTCCAATGTACTAGTTTAAAGTGTTCTGCGTTCCAATTTTCATTTGAAAAAAGTAACTACTAATTCAATTAATTCAGTCTGTTTTTACCTCTTAAAAGTGCAGATTGGAGTACAGAGAATTTGAAAGAAAAATGAAGATATTTAGTTTACTCGGCTTCTGCTATTTATACTACATAGAGAAGGGTTGGTTGGTAAAAGAGAAAGGAAGAAAAGGGGAAAAAAAGGAAAATCTCAAGTCTGACTTTATGTAGATCACAGAAAGTTGTGAAAAGAGCCGTATAAAAATATGCGCTTGTGCTTTAGAAGCTTTTAGCATACAGTTAATAGCTTAAAATAGTATTTACTGCTTCCCCATATGCCTATTTTCTGATATATTTACACATCTTGCAGTCTTTTTCTTTTACATCATTAAAGCAAAATGGCATGATCTCAAATATAGATAGGTTAAAACATCTGAGACTGCCCTTCCCTCCCCAGGATATATGGATAGAGGGTAAACAGCACAACATACTCCACGGACTTATGCCCAGAAAGTTTAGATTGCTTTAATAAAAATTTTAAACAGCAAATGTATATAAATTTTATCTTTTTAAAAAAAGCTTGTCCAAGGGCATTCAGATTTAATGGCTTTTATATAATACTCACTATAGTGCCTTGTGACTGCCTCTGTAAACCAGAAATAAGGGAAGCTCGTGGACTCCCCCAAAACAAAATGCCCCTCCCTTCCCCATCATGGATGGCTTTCTGTTAAGACGAATCCCTTTTACAGGAAAGAGGGCTACAGGCTGCTACCAGTGCAGACGAAGCACTCACCAGACCAAGGCTGTGTTTGAGCTTGGCTGTCACACCATCTGTCAGAAGAACCACCTAGCCACTGAGGCTGTGATGCTAACTAATTTATCGGTAATTTGGTCCCGGTTGTTTTGCTCATTTTGTATAGTTTTTTTTCTTAGATATTCTTGGGAATCCTTCAGACCGATACTCTTGAGGAAGACAGTCAAGTTAAACAGTGATGGTGATTTTTATGGTAAGAGATGAGCTGAACACCAGCTAAGCTACTTGGTCATCATCCAGAGAGATGGGCTCCCCGGCACCAAGTCTTGGTCGCTCCATGGTTTGACAAGGGCACACAGGATGACAGCAGGGCAAAGCATTGTGCCATGTGTTTGTTCTGTCACTAAGTGATTGTTCCAAAGAATGTATAGTCTTCTTCACAGAACAGAACTTTCTAAAAATGAAATTTGGGGACTTGAGTGATTGAGAGTCCAGTATTAAACATTCGCTCCTTAGCCTCCGCCTGTCGTTTTCATGATAAAAGCAAGCCTCTTGCGCACGCTGCTGCGCTTCTCAGTGCCCTCTGCAGGTCAGGAGGCCCCTCGTCTGTCTTGGCTTTAGCTGTCAGACGGAAGCCTCAGGCTTTTGCACTTGAGGTCATCCAGTGTCTTCCAGTGTTTGTAGTTGTCGGCCAAGTGCTGCATGAGGGCTGGCAGGTGTGCAAAGGCTGCAAGGACATGAAAGGATCAAAAGAAGCCTGTGAAATTTAGTTCGATCCCAGGAGCAGCTGTAAGGCTGGGGCTCTGCTGGGCAAATTGGGGATCAGAATTGGAGGCGAGCTACCCTGGGTGAGGCCTTAGGCTGCATGTGGGCACGCAAGCATGAGAAGGGTAAGTCGTCAAACACTAGTTTCTGAAA